CCGGGTCACCGGGAATTACCGGGGAGGGGGGTTTCCTTGGGAGAGGATAAGAGAGGGGGGGATTGGGGCATGGGGGGGGGGGGCAGGCAGGGCGACGAAAAGGCGCCCCCCCCTCCTCGTCTTCCTCCTCGTCCCCCATCCCATTCTCCACCGCGACAGAAAGCCATGCGGCATGCAACCCAAGCGAGTACCGGCACCAGGATAGGATTCAAGAAAAGTAGGGAAGCGAAACTCACGACGAACGCCTCGGGTGGAGAGAGGCAAGGTAGGGATGGTGGTGTTCTGGTGGGAAGCTGGGTGGCTCAAGAGGGAGGGGTAAGCGGCAGGTTCATGTACGGCAGGCAGCGTAGGAGACAGCGTAGGGAGCAGCAGTAGTAGTAGTAGTAGTAGGAGGTGGTAGTGGATGAGCACGGGGGGCGGGCCCCAGAAGAGGGTCTTACAGTACCTTGGTGGTCTCTGCTCCGTGCTGCCGTGTGTCAAGTCGCAGAAACGGTCGGGTGCCTTGGGAAAGGAGTCGGGGCAGCGGGCAACAAACAGGGCAAGAGGTGTAACCGAGGAGAGAGAAGACGGGAGAGAGAGAGAGAGAGGAGGGGAGAGAGGGGCAGGAGAGAGAAAGGAGACAGAGAAGAGGAAGAAGAGTAGTGCTCGGTTCTCACCTGGCAAGGTCCCGTCCAGGATCCAGAGTGTTCAGTCAGAGTTCAGTCCGAGTCCAGAATCAAAGTCCAGTGGCCTTCGCCCGTCACCAGTCACCACTCGCCCGTCCAGTTTGCTCAGGCGAACGGGCAAGGGGTCTAGGTGTGTGCAGCGGGCGACGGGCGACGCTCTGTTTTGGATCCTGGATCCAATGGGGGGGCCGCTCCACCGGGTACTTTCGTGATGAGGATGGACGGTGACACTGTGACGGTGGCCACCTTGGCTCTGGTGCCCTGGGCGCGGGCGACATCGTGCTAAGGAGGCACCGTGCTAGGCGGCACCCTACCCTGTGGCCGGTCGTCTCAGCCCCTAGCGTTTGCTGGTTCTACCGTGGTACCTACCTAGGGACGCGAGGAACGGTAGGGGGCGCCACGGACCGGATGGCGGGGTCAGCCCATTGAGGAGCTATGGGATATGCTGCCTTCATACGAAGCCCCTCGCCCACTTGGAAGCTCGACGCCCATCATCACGACAACGACAAGCGAGGCACGAGGCGCGAGGCACCGCTGTCTGCGTCGCGTTGTGTACATGGTCCTGATGGTGCACCTGAGGATGTGATGGACACGAATGGGCTGTGTGTGTGTGCGCGCCGTGAGCGGTTGCACTCGAGGTGGGCTGGGGTGGGCAGGTGGGGTGTGGGGTGACCAGTTGTGGCCCAGCCCAGGTGAAGTGGAGGGGCGGTACCTCGACACGCACCAGGGGCAGCGCAGTTGGGCTCGTACCTCTCGTAGTGCCACACGGATCGGGACGGTCTCTGATGGTCTCCCGTCCGCCCGCAGTCAAGGCGCCACGGTAGGTCATGTACCTAAGATAGGTACCTGAGATAGGTAGGAA